CGCGAGATGGAAGAGTTGGCTTCCATGAAAAAGGGGCCCTTTCTTGAAGACCCTGCCCAGCTATCGGGGTTTTGTTGGTTTGTGTTTTGTCATCTGTGATAGGAAGGCATCTTCTTAGCCATCGGGAGGGAAACCTCAACAAATTCAGCCATTCAGATCACAAGGGATTTCTTGGGTTTGGTGGATCTGAGATCTGGTCTGCCTCCGACTGCTCCCCGAGATTGCCTTTATGCCGAGAATGGGATTCCTCATCAGACACACAGAAGTCCGGCTCCTTGCCACGGAGCTGGCTGCTCTATGGATGCCTTTAAAAAGGAAGCCTGCCTTTAATTCGGACGTCGGAACGTGATCGGTCGCTTTTTCATGGGGGGTTGGCCAATTAAATTTCCCCCGCCTTGGGCGCCTGGGTGGCTCAGTTGGTTAAGCGGCTGCCTTCGGCTCCGGTCATGATCCTGGAGTCCCTGGATCGAGTCCCGCATCGGGCTCCCTGCTCAGCAGGGAGTCTGCTTCTCCCTCTGACCCTCCCCCCTCTCATGTGCTCTCTCTCATTCATTCTCTCTCTCTCTCTCTCTCTCTCTCTCTCTCTCTCTCTCTCTCTCTCTGTCTCAAATAAATAAACAAACAAACAAACAAACAAATAAATAAATAAATAAAATCTTAAAAAAAAAAAATTCCCCCCGCCTTACAAAGCAGAGACTGGTGAAGGGTCCTCCAAGTGCCCTCTGGAAATCAAGAGCTTCTGTATCAAGAGGCTGGAAAACGCATCTTCCCCTTCTTCCTGGTGAATCCAATTCTAGGGGTTGATTCAAAGGAAATCATGTTTTAGATGCTAAAACGTAAAGCTTACTTTTGCAAAAATGTGCATCGCGGCATAGGGTTTAGGAATCCCTTGTGGCAGACCGACAACCGTGTGTCCCTCACGTCCCGGCACGTGTGCACCCTCACGTCCTATGACTTCGATGCTCCTGCTATCCAGAGGTAGGCTTGATTGCTCTGTCCCTTGATTTTGGACCGGGTCTTGGGACTTGTCTTGACCCAAAGAATAGAGCAGAAGTGACACTTGGCTGGTTTCACAGCCTACACCTGAAGAGGTGGTCTGCCGGCGTTCTCGACCTTCTTGGCATGCCGTCCTGAGACCTCCACGTAAGAAAGCCAGTCTAGCTGACTGGAGCATGAGAGGCATTGACAACAGAGGCAGCCCGGTGCTCGGCGGCACCGACTGCCAGACGTGTGAAAGTTGACCCTCTGGCCGAAAGCCACTGCTTGAGTGAGCCCGGCGTAAACCCGCAGAACCCAAGGGGCCACCCAGGGCAAGCACCAGGAAGTTATCGATAAAGAAATGCTGTTTCGAGCCATTGCGGTGTTAGGATGATGCACCCTGAGGATCAGCTAGCTGCGCAGCAGCGATAGATACCGTGCACACAGATACACACCACACAACACACCACACCACCCCCCCCACACACACACACGTGTGCAGAAAACCAAACCAACGAAACAAACCAAAACTCTGTAGAACCCTGCACCAAATGTTGAGGAAACAACGGCCCACCCTCACAAGAAACACCTGCACGCTACATGTACAATGCATAGGGAGCCTATACTTGCAAGTGCTTACTTGCATGGGAAACATTTCACGATAACACGAGTCTCAGATGGCCCAAGCGGGGTTCTTTTGACATGTCTGAATTGTGTACACAATTAGAGAAAGCCTGCTAGGAGACTGGGTGATCAGAAACTAGGAAGCTCTTTGGTTCCCTCAGTGAAGCCCCGACTTTTGGGGAGGAACCAACACTCAGGGAGATGCTCTGGTCTTCATTTGGTTGGTTGGTTGGTTGGTTGGTTGGTTGGTTGGTTGGTTGGTTGGTTGCTGCAGCTTTTGCTATCTTTGCATAAAACCGACCCTGTTTCCATTGGGAATGGAAAACAACTGACGGGTGGGATCTGTACACGGTAATGCTGCTTCGCAGTTGCATTTGTTTTACTAAAAGAGGGAGATTTGAACATTGGGTCTTTCGTGTCCTCTCCATTCATGTCCTCTCCACAAATAAGACTGAAACAAAGGCTAAAATTTGTTTGCATCTTGTTTGTGTCTATGTGTCCGTATGTGTTATACATGTGAGGTATTTCCTCCACCTCCGGGTGCTATTGCTAACATCCATTTGTAAAGGAGCTCTATTTAATGAGTTCTATTTTTATTTTATTTTATTTTATTTTATTTTATTTATTTTATTCTTTAAAGATTTTATTTATTTATTTGACAGAGAGAGACACAGCGAGAGAGGGAACACAAGCAGGCGGAGTGGGAGAGGGAGAAGCAGGCTTCCCGCCGAGCAGGGAGCCCGATGCAGGGGCTTGATCCCAGGACCCTCGGATCATGACCTGAGCTAAAGGCAGACGCTTAACCACTGAGCCATCCAGGTGCCCCGAGTTTTATTTTTATTAAAGATTCTATTTATGTCTTTGAAAGAAAGCGAGTGAGAGAGCACACGAGCTGGGGGTGGGGGGGCATTGGGAGAGGGAGAAGCAGACTCCCCGCGGAGCAGGGAGCCGGATGTGGGGCTCCATCCCAGGACCCCAGGATCATGATGTGAACGCAAGGCAGACACTTAACTGCCTGAGCCACACAGGTGCCCCTACTTAAAGAGTTTAGAGGCAGGTGCTCGTAAAAATCGGGCATGGTAAAACTCAGATAAGAATAAACCCAGTTTTTCAAGCTCACATGATCTGGGATGAAATTCCCTACATTCAGACTCTTATGTCACTCCACAATAAAGATGCCTCAAGGTAAGGGACCCAAGGGACGGCCCAGAGATAGACAAAAATTTAACACACCTGACCTTACCCCCACTTCCCAACAGTCAAAATAATGAAGAAGAGGAGGAAGACAGGCCGATGCTAGAAATCTGAAATCCACTCCTCCTCCTCCCCAAGTACAGGCACCAGAACCGATGCCCAACCCACTGGCTTCCGGAGGGCTGAAAAGCCACCACAGACAAAGCCTATTAAGCAGAAGGAGATGAAGAAGGGCGGAGGCGGAGGCGGAGGCGGAGGCGGAGGCGGAGGCGGAGGCGGAGGCGGAGGCGGAGGCGGAGGCGGAGGCGGAGGCGGAGGCGGAGGCGGAGGCGGAGGCGGAGGCGGAGGCGAAAAAAAAGAAAAGGTTCGTCCAAAACTGTAAATGTATATGTGCCCTGGGCCTTACCAATGGCTCCCTTGCCGCCTCCCCTGCCCCGTTTCTGCACCACTGGTGTGTGTGCCTGGAGTGCTCTACTCCCCTGCCGCCGTCTCAGCCGCCCTTCCCTACCCCCGCCCCCCCCGCCCCCCCCCCCCCCCGGGTGCCATGGGCTCCCCTTTCTCCTCCTCCTCCTCCTCCTCCTCCCCACCCCCTTATCAAGGAGCAAAAGCCCTTGCCCTTGGGCCCAAGCCCTTGGGCCACCTCCTTATGAGGTTTAAATTGGAGCACCTCCCAAACTAGCAGGAAGGGGCCCGAGGGCTCCGCTGATCTTAGACCGCCCGCTTCAGACTTTCCCCAAGGAGTCTGATGGGGGAAAACAATCGATTGACTTTTTAGTGGACGCAGGTGCAACTTCTTTGGCGTTAAAGCCAATTCAAGGTTGTTGGTTTATTTTAAAAAGACGTGGTTTTGGAGCTATCAATGTCACACATAATACAAATAATCAACTTTGCGTTTCTTTCTTTCTTTCTTTCTTTCTTTCTTTCTTTCTTTCTTTCTTTCTTTCCCTTCTTTCTTTCTTTCTTTCTTTCTTTCTTTCTTTCTTTCTTTCTTTCTTTCTTTCTTTCCTTTTCTTTCTTTTCTTTGTCATAAAAGCACTTGGATTCGGTTCTCCCTGCGTTACAAGCCGTTGGGTGGGCAGTGGAATGTGCCACGCTCCCGTCACAACAGTGAGCCTGTATTTGTGGTTATCAAAATATACCTCTCCATCACCTTTATAAAAACCAACCAACCAACCAACCACGTTTGGGTGCCTGGGTGGCTCAGTCGTTCAGCGTCTGCCTTCGGCTCAGGTCATGATCCCAGGGTCCTGGGATCGAGCCCCGCATTGGGCTCCCTGTTCATTGGGGAACCTTCTTTTCCCTCTGTCCCTTCCCCTGCTTGTGTTCCCTCTCTCGCTGTGTCTCTCTCTGTCAAATAAATAAAATTTATGAAATATATTCATACATTTGCCAATCTAAAGAATTCTGGTGTAATAGAGAGTGCGCCATTGGTTACTACTAACGTTTCACCAGAGACTGAGATTTCTAAGAATTAAAATTCTGCCACATGGAATTGGGACTGCTACAAAATGATAACAAAAACAACTCCGTGTGTGGGAAGGTAGGAGACGTGTAAAAGAGGTACAAGAAATGAGAAAACATTTTTTTTGTTGAGGGAAAAGGAAGTAATGGTGTACTGAAACGGGACTGGGTACTTAAAGAAAGAAAACTTTAAGACCGAGTCTGAATGAAAAAGGAAATTGTGGAAGGGGTTTGTGAAGGAGAATTTTTGAAAAGGAATTTTATGCATGGTCAGGACTGACTGAGCTTGGGAGAAGGCAGTTTGAAAAGCACACTGGTGGAACTGGAGGGTATTATGTTGAGCGAAATAAGTCAAACAGAGAAAGACATGTATCCTATGATCTCACGGATAGGAGGAATTCTTAATCGCAGGAAACAAGCTGAGGGTTGCTGGAGTGGGGGGTGGGGTGGGAGGGATGGGGTGACTGGGTGATAGACACTGGGGAGGGTAGGTGCTCTGGCAAGCGCTGTGAATTGTGCAAGACTGTTGAATCTCAGATCTGTACCTCTGAAACAAATAACGCAATCTATGTGAAGAAGAAAAAAAAAATAGAAGAAGGTAGCGGGAGGGGACGAATGAAGCGGGGGAAATCGGAGGGGCGGACGAACCATGAGAGACGATGGACTCTGAACAACAAACTGAGGGTTCTAGAGGGGAGGGGGGTGGGAGGATGGGTTAGCCTGGTGGTGGGTATTGAGGAGGGCCCATTCTGCATGGAGCACTGGGTGTTGTGCACAAACAATGAATCATGGAACACCACATCTAAAACTAATGATGTAATGTAGGGGATTAACATAAGAATAAAAAAAAGAAGAAGAAAAGCACACTGGTATAAGATTGAGATTTGGGTTTTCTATGTTAAAATGACAAGGTTTTCTTGGATTGTTAGTGTACTCTTTTTTTCTTTCTTAAGATTGTATTTATTTATTTGACAGAGAGAGACACAGCGAGAGAGGGAACACAAGCAGGGGGAGCGGGAGAGGGAGAAGCAGGCTCCCGGCCAAGCAGAGAGCCCGATGTGGGGCTCGATCCCAAGACCCTGGGATCATGACCTGAGCCGAAGGCCGACAGACGCTTGACGACTGAGCCACCCAGGCGCTCCTCCGAGATTTTATTTTTTAAATAATCTCTACACTGAACGTGGGGCTCGAACTCACAACCCTGAGATCAAGAGTCGTGCTCTCTACCGACTGAGCCAGCCAGGTGCCCCTGGACTGTCATCTCGAAGAGACACATGCGTAGACTCAGATATGGTGAGACTGCTTTAAGAAAGTCAGATTGACTTTATGGAGCCAGTAAAGCCCCTTAGAAATGTTGGCCTGATAACCTTGCTTAGAGAGGTCCCCTCAACCTTACCAGGTGAGTGAAGAGTACCACCTCCTGGCAGATGCAGGAACTTCAGGAAATTTGGAGGCCCTCAAAGAAGAGAGGAATTCACCCAAATCTACAAGTCTTTTTTTTTTTTGTAATTTTTTTTATTCTTATGTTAATCCCCGTACATCACATCATTAGTTTTAGATGTAGTGTTCCATGATTCATTGTTTGTGCACAACACCCAGTGCTCCATGCAGAATGCGCCCTCCTCAATACCCACCACCAGGCTAACCCATCCTCCCACCCCCCTCCCCTCTAGAACCCTCAGTTTGTTTTTCAGAGTCCATCGTCTCTCCTGGTTCGTCTACCCCTCCGCAAATCTACAAGTCTTGCAGGCGAATCTGATGGCCAATATTTGGCTTGGTTCTCGGCTTTAAAAAGGCAGTTAAAGGATCAATCTAAAATTCCTTGTAAAAAGCTCCATCAAAGCAGATTTAAAAGAAGGAAAGGAAAAAGAAAAGAGAAGAAAGACCCCATATATGGTCAATTGCTATTCTTGCTGTCCCTACGTAGATGATTGGGCCAAGTTTGTTAAAACTGGACTTGTTTTACAAACAAATTAATCTTCTTTTGGCTATCTTTGACAGGAATGAAGGTGACTTTAGAGAGAAAGATTACATTTCAATAACACACTTTTGTGAGTGTTAGATTAATTATCTTTGAACGTTTATTGTTTGCCTATAAAACTGGACTGGATCCTGGATCCTTCTGGTTTCCTTGAGTATCTGACTGTGACTCTTCAAACTAAGGTTTCCAACATTCTCCCATTCTCTCTCTTTTTTTTAATTAATTTATTTTTTTATTCTTAGGTTAATCCCCATACATTACATCATTAGTTTTAGATGAAGTATTCCATGATTCATTGTGCATAACACCCAGTGCTCCATGCAGAATGGGCCCTCCTCAATACCCACCACCAGGCTAACCCATCCTCCCACCCCCCTCCCCTCTAGAACCCTCAGTTTGTTGTTCAGAGTCCATCGTCTCTCATGGTTCGTCCGCCCCTCCGATTTCCCCCCCGCTTCATTCGTCCCCTCCCGCTACCTCCTCCTCCTCCTCCTCCTTCTTCCTCCTCCTCCTCCTCTTCTTCTTCTTCTTCTTCTTTTCTCCTTCTTCTTCTTCTTCTCCTTCTTCTTCTTCTTCTTCTTCTTCTTCTTCTTCTTCTTCTTCTCTCCTTCTTCTTCTTCTTCTCTCCTTCTTCTTCTTCTTCTTCTTCTTCTTCTTCTTCTTCTTTTCTTCTTCTTCTTCTCTCCTTCTTCTTCTTCTTCTTCTTCTTCTTCTTCTTCTTTTCTTCTTCTTCTTTTCTTCTCCTTCTTCTTTTCTTCTTCTTCTTCTTTTCGTCTTCTTCTTTTCTTCTCCTTCTTCTTTTCTCCTCCTCCTTTTCTCCTCCTCCTCCTCCTCCTTCTTCTTCTTCTTCTTTTTTTCCCCTTAACATATATTGCATTATTTGTTTCAGAACATTCTCCCATTCTCTTATCTTACAATCATTAAGAACTAAAACTGTCCTTTTTCCTGAAGTCTGGCAAATGAAAGCTGGACAACTTGAAATAAATTTCAGGGAAATGACCACAATAACTCATATATAGACAATCTTTGTGCCTGTTGCTCTATGAGTCACTCAAAATGAGACATTTGAACTATACGCCAGAAAAATTAGTCAGATTGCCCCTGCCCACTCCCACTCTATTGGAGGATGCTTCAAGCCTGACATCTAGAGACCTTCTCACTGGCAGCCCTCTGGACTTAGACACCAGGTGTATCCCTTGTTCCAACCATTAACCATGTTTTCCTTTTGTTTCCATAGAAATGCCTCTTATTAACTACAAGATCACTTGCTGAATGAGGCAGAGTCTATGATCCTTAATTCCACCTTGCTGCACCTGTATTAACTCCTCTTTGGAAAATAAGAACCCATATAAATAGGGGCACCTGGCTGGCTCAGCTGGTAGAACATACGACTCTAGATCTCGGGGTTGTGAGTTCGAGCCCCACATTGAGTGTAGAGATTACTTAATAGAAATCTTTAAAGAAAAAAAAAAATAAAAAAGAACCCATGTAAATAAAATCAAACACTAAGCTACTTGGCTACCAGAAGCCCTTCACCACCACAACCTACCGCCCCCCCCCCAGGGGAGGGGCTCAGACTAATTTACTGATCTGTATTCTTGGATACCCACCGATATCAGATCAATTTGAGAGAGAATGAGAGAATTGGGTTTGACTCTACTGTTACTATTCCTTAGACTACACTTGGGGATAAAATCAATGGTGTCATGTAGTCCCAAACCATGTAGAAAAATAACCAAGTTCTCAGATAAGGAACTATCTCTGAGACCCCCTCCATTAGCACAAGGGACCAAAAATTGCGACCTGCAGTGTCTCAGATCCTTCCATTCCAAAGCCTCTACTGCACCCTAATTCAGCTTGAAGCAGTTAAATAAAGAAGGCAGACCTCTGCCCATGTGTCATAGAAATGGAATGCAGGATGGACAAGGGGAAATTTTAACAGGGAAAAATGTAGCATGTCTGACTCCCTGTTATTTTTATTCCCTTTTAACCTGTAGGTTAAAAACTTCTGTTTAGCCCTGAACATAGCCATGTTACAGCTAAGATTTACAGAAACTGTCGTTTACCCAAAACCTACCTCCCCTGAGGAGATGAAAGAATAGCCACAGCCATCATCATCCCAATTCCCTAAGACTGAGGAATGATCCTCACTTGGTGGGGGTGGGGGTGGGGGTGGGGGTGGGGGTGGGGGTGGGGGTGGGGTGGGGGTGGGGATTGAAACCGTGCCCCATAAGGTTAATGAGGTTGATGCTAGCAGAAAGCTTAAAGCTGGTTTTTCAGGGAACTGTTTCCCCCTAGTCAGCTATTGTGTCTTTTCAGGCCCTGCTACCAAATACTGGCTGTCTCTGCAGAAGTCTGGACTCAAGGTCAACTGATAATGGCTGCAGCCTATGAAGAAGCGAGGTCCTGATTCCTTACCTGAGAAAAGGAGCCTAAGACCCCATCCAGGTTGTACCAGCTCTCAGAGCATGCCCACAGCCTCTTCTCCTTGTCCTCAGATAACCTCCTGACATCAGGGACTCAGTTTTGCCTCATTCAGATGTCAGGTCTCCACCCCGAAGTAAACATGGGAATCTATGGTACATATGTTTCCTGAATATACGTGCTCCAACTTTCGCCATGAATAATCATAAATGTCCCTGCCCTTTTCCTTTTTGAAGTTTGATTGTTTGTTTTTATTTATTTATTTCAGAGAGAGAGACACACAGAGAGAGACAGAGACAGAGAGAGAAACACACACAGAGAGAGAGAGACAGAGAGACAGAGAGACAGAGAGACAGAGAGACAGAGAGCTTGCACGCATGGGTGGGTGGAGGGGCAGAGGGAGAGGGAGAAGACTCCCCATTGAGCAGGGAGCCCCAGAGGGGTGGGGCTCGATCCCAGCACCCTGAGATTATGACCTGAGCTGAAGGCAGATGCTCAACCGGCAGCCACCCAGGCGCCCCTCCATTCCATTTTTTTTTTTTAAAGAGATAAACATTACATACTTTATTTTTAAAAATTCATTCATTCATTCATTCATTCATTCATTCATTCATTCATTCATTTTTCATCATCTGTAGTCCCAGTGTAGGGCTTGAACTCAGGACCCTGACTGAGATCAAGAGTCATGTGCTGTTCTGACTGAGCCACCCAGGTGCTCCTTCTGTTCCATATTTTAAACAACCCTGGGATCATGGCTCAGAGTCACAGTTGGCCCAATGAGACTCACACTCACCCCTCTGTGCAGAGGTGCCATCTGTGGGGCTGGTTCCTGTTTGTCCATCTTCCTTCCTCCTCTTACTGGACAGGAAGGTGGTGTGCGAAAACAGCCAGTGACTACGTGGAATGAGACCGAGGATTTCCCTTGGGAAGCAGGTGGGAGAGGGAGGACAGGTCGATGGATAATCAATAAACTGTTTTGTTTTTTTTTTTTTTAAGATTGTATTTATTTATTTATTTGACAGAGAGAGACACAGCGAGAGAGGGAACACAAGCAGGGGGAGTGGGAGAGGGAGAAGCGGGCTTCCCGCGGAGCAGGGAGCCCGATGCGGAGCTCGATCCCAGGACCCTGGGATCATGACCTGAGCCGAAGGCACATGCTTAATGACTGAGCCACCCAGGTGCCCCAACAATCAATAAACTGTTAATGTTGATTTAGAGGAGTGTGCTTGCTGGGCCCATAACTCGGTGGATGAGTTAGAACGGTCCCTGTCAGGCCTCCCTTAGCCCTTAGCCCTTAGCCCTTATCACTCCATGCTTGTGTTTGGCCTCTGACCGCTAAGATACCACCATCATGTGTTCAAGGTCCTCCTCAGACTCAGCCAGCCACACCATGCCACACCCTCCTACCTGCACACCCATCCCTGGAAGGCAGTATAGTAAGACATCATCCCCCACATTCATGATTCCCAAAGGGTTTACTGGAGTTTCGTGGGTTAGGAAAAGGAGGGGACTCTTTTTGCCCCCAGATGAGGTGAGCTCTTCAGACACCCTCTTTCCCCTTCCCCTCCTCCCTCCCTCCCTTCCCTCCCTCCCTCCCTCCCTCCCTCCCTTCCCTCCCTCCCTCCCTCCCTCCCTCCCTCATCTCTCTCCGAAGTTTGCAAGCTGCAGCCTAAGGGTTAGGGGGAGTTGAGGAAAGCCATTGAATGGAGGGAAGCTCCAGGCTCTGACTTTAACAGAAAGCTTTCTGCATTTGAATGAAGCGATTGAATGAGGCCCATTAGAATGGATCACCCTGAACGTCCCATCAGCCGCCCCAGCCCCAGCCCCAGCCCCCCCATCCCCCCCCAACTGAAGTCCTCTGGTCGAATTGGAACAGTAGGCTGGGGGGGGGGGGGGGGCTGTCCATCCTAAGTTGGTAACTAGGCCCCTGGTCCATAGGGAAAAAATCACGCACGGGTACAGATGAGTTGGTAGCTCAGGCAAAGTGGTCGAAGTGTTGGCAAGGTTTCCGTGGATGAGGGGAGATTTGTTCTGGGACCACCCTCCCATATACATCTCTGGCTGAGAAGAGGACAGGGGAGCCCTGTGGGGGTGGGGGTGGGGGTGGGGGTGGGGGTGGGGGGGCGGGACCCAGATCTGGAGCTCGGAGTGGACTATAGCCGCTGCCTGCCCGGGTGTGTGTGCCTGGGGGGCGGGGGGGGGGGGCGCTGAGGGATAAGGGCTGAGGGTGGTGGGGTCTGCTCACGCTGACTCCTGCAACTCAATTCATCCTGGGAACCTTCTGTTGTTTCTGCTGAGGTGCCAGGTGCTGTGATGACCAAAGCTAAACTCCTCTCTTTGCCTAGTTCTTAAAAGGCCTGATCCTCCTGTTATCTTGTTAAATGGACCGACCCCTGCACCCTCCCATCCTGCCAGACCCCTTGTGCAAATACTTCCACTTGAAGAGTTCTTTCTCTGAATCTAGAAAATAAACAGACAACACCCACCAGCCACACCGACCCCATTGCCACAAATACCTAGCAAAGACAAATCTAGCTGGTCTCCTTCTGCCTCAAGGCACTTTAGAGAGTCACTCTCTCAGACACACCTTAGGCTCAATTACAGGCTGCTGTCTCCCTTTCTCTGGCACAATTCCATCCCTGGAGGAGCCCCATATCGCATCTGCAGCCGTGAGCTGGAGACAGTATGCTCAAGTGACCGGGTGGTAGCACCGTAACTTTGAAATGACCTATACCCCAAGTCATCCATGAACATGGTCCCTGGAAATCTTTGACATTCACGTGCCTCTGATGAAATCCTTGCTTTGGAAACTCCAGCACCCATAGCCAATCTTGTCCATGTTCTGCTAACCTTTGCTCGCCCTCTGTTCGCCTGATATCTTGCCTGATTGTTTACAGAGAAATTAGATCCCATCCAGCAAGAGCTGAATCCGAGTCCTCTGCTCACCCCACGACGGAAAAGAATATGCACAGGCCTGCATCCCTCTTCTCCTTCTCCACCATGTCGGAAGAAAAGGTGGCCCTCCCTCCTCCCATCAGAACCCAAACCCGAGATAAGACTTAGATATAAAGGAAACCAGCATACTGTTTTGAACTCTATATACACTTGTAAAAAACGAGCAGCGGCAAGGAAACACACAAACCACCCCCCCCCCACACACACACAGGTGCAAGGAGGGTGCGCTGACTCGCTGAATCTCCCCCTTTTCTCCCGAGAGGCATCCCCCCCATCCCCCGCCCCCCCCCGAAGATGTCCTCCCTATGCCGGAAGGGGAGTGAGTGACGTTCTTTTCTTCCTTTTTTTTTTTTTTTTTAATTATTCTTTTTAAAAGACTTTTATTTATTTGAGAGGAGGGGGGGGGGGGAGGGAGGGGGGAGGGAGGGAGAGAGAGAGAGAGAGAGAGAGAGAGAGATTGAGAGAGAGAGAAGCAGAGTCTCCGCCGAGCAGGGAGCCCGATGTGGGGCTGGATCCCCGGACCCTGAGCTCAGGGCCTGAGCCGAAGGCAGGCGGACGGTTCACGGATTGAGCCAGCCAGGCGCCCCAGCTTTCTTGTTTCTTTGTCTGCCTGCTTGCCTGCGTGTTGGGTCTGTGGATGTCTGATGCCTGCCCTCTGATTTCGTGGGGAGGTGGGCCGTCTTTCCTCCTTCCAATGGCCTTTGCGCATTTGTCAAACTTCTGTCGGGCTTGGGCCTATCTGTTTGGGTATCTGTGGCGTTCCATCCACCGACCTGTCTCTTTTGTCTGCCAACATCACAGGGTCTCTATCGCCTCTATACATAAGCATGAAACGGGCCCGGAGAGGACGACTTTGTTTCCTGAGTTTTGTTTTGTTTTCTTCGAAATCACCATAGCGATTCTAATTCCTTTTGCCTGTCTGCTTGTGTATGTAATCTGTACACCCATCCAGTGCGGTGCTGGAACTCACGACGCCCGCCGATCAAGAGTCGCGGTCGCGTGGGCCTCCTCCGACCGAGCCAGCCAGGTGCCCTGAAATACGTGTACTTGAAAAACCAATGTGAAGCCTGCACCCGTGAACTTTTTTTTTTAAAGATTTTATTTATTTATTTGAGACAGAGAGAATGAGAGAGACAGAGAGCACATGAGAGGGGGGAAGGGTCAGAGGGAGAAGCAGACTCCCTGCCGAGCAGGGAGCCCGATGCGGGACTCGATCCCGGGACTCCGGGATCATGACCTGAGCCGAAGGCAGTCGCTTAACCAACTGAGCCACCCAGGCGCCCTTTTTTTTCTTTTCTTTTCTTTTTTTTTTTTAATAGATGCACCCGTGAAGTGTTTACTGCGAAACCTTCTTTTGATCGTCGCACTCTTGAGTGGAGGCCGTACCAGTAAAGAACGTAGTTTAGCCAACTCAGGAAGAGATCAGCTTTAAAGGAAAACCTTCTTTTCGAGTTTGTGATGTCTGGTCCTTTCTCTCAACTCGATCGATGTCCAGCCTTCAGAGCCACATTATTTGCTTGGTCTCTCTCTCTCTCTCTCTCTCTCTCTCTCTCTCTCTCTCTCTCTCTCTCGTCTGTGTTTCCTCGTGTACTTTCCTGATGCTCAGGATTTATGGTTTAGAGAGAACAGTTTTCAGCCTGGTGTGTGTGTGGGGGGGGGGGGGATGTTGTGAAGTGGGATCAGGGATTCACGCGGGTAAGGAGGAGGCAAGGAGAAAGGCTTGGTTGGGAAGGAAACCATTAAAGGTCCATGTTGAAATGGTGAAGTTTATTTTATTTATTTATTTATTTATTTATTTATTTACTTTTTAAAGATTTTATTTATTTATTTGACAGAGAGAGACAGCGAGAGAGAGAACACAGGCAGGGGGAGTGGGAGAGGGAGAAGCAGGCCTCCCGCGGAGCAGGGAGCCCGATGTGGGGCTCGATCCCAGGGCCCTGGGCTCGTCACCTGAGCCGAAGGCGGACGCTTAACGACTGAGCCACCCCCCAGGTGCCCCGAAATGGTGAAGTTCAATGTAGTAAGAGTTACCTTTAATCAAAGGAATTCTTTTTTTTTTCTTTTATTTTATTCTTATGTTAATCCCCATACATTACATCATTAGTTTTAGATGAAGTGTTCCATGATTCATTGTTTGTGCACAACACCCACTGCTCCATGCAGAATGGGCCCTCCTCAATACCCACCACCAGGCTAACCCATCCTCCCACCCCCCTCCCCTCTAGAACCCTCAGTTTGTTGTTCAGAGTCCATCGTCTCTCATGGTTCGTCTACCCCTCTGATTTCCCCCCGCTTCATTCTTCCCCTCCTGCTACCTCCTCCTCCTCCTCCTCCTCCTCCTCCTCCTCCTTCTTCTTCTTCTTCTTTTTTTTTTCTTAACATAGATTGCATTATTATTTGTTTCAGAGGTACAGATCTGAGATTCAACAGTCTTGCACAATTCACAGCGCTTACCAGAGCACACACCCTCCCCAGTGTCCATCACCCAGTCACCCCATCCCTCCCACCCCACCCCCCACTCCAACAACACTCAGTTTGTTTCCTGCGATTAAGATAATCAAAGGAATTCTTGCTGGAGGTTGCTTCTCCCCTCTCCTCCCTGGATAGGGGAGTGAAGTTTTTTCGAGGTCCCTAGTGGACACAGAAAGCGTTCAAGTGCCCCTAGCACCTATGGATGGGGCTCTGTTGCCCTCTAGTGTCCTATCCTCTGCTACTGCTGCTCGTGGTTTCCTCTGACGTCGTATTCGTCACAGGTGTGTATCTTTGATGGTTAATGCTGCTCGGTGTCGGTTGTTTGCGTGTTTGTTTTTGAAAGCTTTTTGAGTGATCATCCAGCATGGTGCTGGAACTCACGACCCCTGCAGATCAAGAGTCGCAGTCGCGTGGGCCTCCTCCGACCGGAGCCAGTCAGGTGCCCTGAAATGCGCTTAGTTGAAACAGGAAGAAAGAAAAAACAAAAAACAAAACCCAAACCATTTTTTTTTTCCCCCTTTACGAGCCAGAGGAAGTTCTACGCCTTGTTTTTGTTTTACCCTTAATAGCATGGAACAGTTCCCCTCCTCCTCCTCCTCCTCCTCCTCCTCCTCCTCCTCCTCCTCCTCCTCCTCCTCCTCCTCCTTCTTCTTCTTCTCCATCATCATCATCATCATCATCAATATTTAACTCTTCTAGAGCACCTCCCCCGCCCACCCCGTACTAGTGTTGGACGGCACGGATGTCCCGGAACTGGATTTCTTTAAAGATATATATTTTTACGATTTTATTGATTTATTTGACAGAGGGAGACACAGCGAGAGAGGGAACACAAGCAGGGGGAGTGGGAGAGGGAGAAGCAGGCTTCCTGCCGAGCAGGGAGCCCGATGCGGGACTCGATCCCGGGACTCCGGGATCATGACCTGAGCCGAAGGCAGTCGCTTAACCAACTGAGCCACCCAGGCGCCCTCTTTTTTTTTTTTTCTTAACATAGATTGCATTATTTGTTTCAGAGGTACAGATCTGAGATTCAACAGTCTTGCACAATTCACAGCGCTTGCCAGAGCACCTACCCTCCCCAGTGTCTATCACCCAGTCACCCCATCCCTCCCACCCCACCCCCCACTCCAGCAACCCTCAGCTTGTTTCCTGCGATTAAGAATTCCTCCTATCCGTGAGATCATAGGATACATGTCTTTCTCTGTTTGACTTATTTCGCTCAACATAATACCCTCCAGTTCCATCCACGTCGTTGCCAATGGCAAGATCTCATTCCTTTTGATGGTTGCATGATATTCCATTGTATGTATATATATACCACATCTTCTTTATCCATTCATCTGTCGATGGACATCTTGGCTCTTTCCACAGTTTGGCTATCGTGGATATTGCTGCTATAAACATCGGGGTGCACGTACCCCTTCGGATCCCTATTTTTGTATCTTTGGGGTAAATACCCAGTAGTGCAATTGCTGGATCATACGGCAGCTCTAGTTTCAACTTTTTGAGGAATCTCCATACAGTTTTCCAGAGTGGCTGCACCAGCTTGCATTCCCACCAACAGTGTAGGAGGGTTCCCCTTTCTCCGCATCCCCGCCAACATCTGTCATTTCCTGACTTGTTACTTTTAGCCATTCTGACTGGTGTGAGGTGGTATCTCATTGAGGTTTTTTTTTTTTTTTTAAGATTTTATTTATTTATTTGAGAGAGAGAGAGAGAGACAGAAAGAGAGCATGAGAGGGGGGAGGGTCAGGAGGATCAGAGGGAGAAGCAGACTCCCCGCTGAGCAGGGAGCCCGATGCGGGACTCGATCCTGGGACTCCAGGATCATGACCCGAGCCGAAGGCGGTCGCTTAACCAACTGAGCCACCCAGGCGCCCTCATTGAGGTTTTGATTTGGATTTCCCTGATGCTGAGCGATATTGAGCACTTTTTCATGTGTCTGTTGGCCATTTGGATGTCTTCTTTGGAAAAATGTCTGTTCATGTCTTCTGCCCATTTCTTGATTGGATTCTTTGTTCTTTGGGTGTTGAGTTGGATGAGTTCTTTATAGATTTTGGATACGAGCCCTTTATCTGATATGTCATTTGCAAATATCTTCTCCCATTCTGTCGGTTGTCTTTTGGTTTTGTGGACTGTTTCCTTTGCTTTGCAAAAGCTTTTTATCTTGATGAAGTCCCAAGAGTTCATTTTTGCCTTTGCTTCCCTTGCCTTTGGCGATGTTTCTAGGAAGAAGTTGCTTTGGCTGAGGTCAAAGAGGTTGCTGCCTGTGTTCTCCTTTAGGATTTGGATGGACTCCTGTCTCACATTGAGGTCTTTCAACCATTTGGAGTCTATTTTTGTGTGTGGTGTAAGGAAATGGTCCAGTTTCATTCTTCTGCATGTGGCTATCCAATTTTCCCAACACCATTTGTTGAAGAGACTGTCTTTGTTCCATTGGACATTCTTTCCTGCTTTGTCAAAGATGAGTTGACCATAGAGTTGAGGGTCCATTTCTGGGCTCTCTATTCTGCGGAACTGGATTTCTTGAGTGAAGGACTATTTTAACTCCCTTCCTCCCCATTCCGCGCCTGCCCCCGCCCCGCCCC